AACTAATACTCTTGCGGACGTGTCGATGCAGCGTTTCGTCGGCTGTTGGATCGATACAAAAATTATTATCTACACCCCTACTATGTATATAATTTTCATATCAGATTTGGCTGTATGCATTATTCAACTCCTGCACAAACATTAAATATTGTTTGTACATATTTCAGAGAACAGAAGTAAACAAAGTTCTCCAAAAGCCGAATCAGAGGTGTAAACAGGGTTCCTTTTTTACTTTTTTTGTCCCTTGAAATAAAAATGTAAGATGAACTTCACAACACACACAAGAAAACCACTACTTTTTGGCCCAGTAGAAATGTTTACAATTTTGAAAATCTTTCCATATAAGAAGAAAACTAAAAACACACCAATAACATATTTTTAACAACTAATAAATGGAATTCACAAACTTTATTTTGATCCCTACTCAAAGTCCATAATAGCTCTGATTTCACTGTAGGGGAACCACCAAACATTATTCGGAGGTGTGGTGCTTTTTGTGACGTTGGAGATGCTGTAGAGGCCTTGCAGAGACAGGCTGGAACAGAACTGAGAAATAGCTGCTACTTTCACATGTCTAACTCCACAGCTTTGATTCCCATTGTGCCGAGCTTGAATGACTTCTTGCTCAAACTACGCCATTCCCCATATACATTCCTCAGTACCGTTTTCATCTTGCATCACCCCATGGTCTGTTTGCAACGTTGTTTTTATCAGATCTGCTGTCAGGATGGAACTAATAATGGTTCCACCCAATGGCGTAAATATCAGTAAGCAGGGACAACAGTTGCTTACGGGCCCACGACCTCTTAGGGGCCCCATCATAGACATCTTGTGACCCCCCTACGCAATTGTAGACTAGTATGTCTCTTTGTAGATGAAATGGTGTGAAAAAAATCATTTTAAACCCACCTGATACGGAAGTGACCGACTACACCGGACCGTATTTACACCCCAGATTTCAACATGATGGTGAGCCGTATAAACACAACACCAATAGCAAAGCAGACAGTGGTACTTTTATTTACTATTTTAATAACCCTGTATAGGTCATTAGACGGTTGTTAAAAAATACACTCATGTTTCAAACCTCAATAAAGATCTTAAAAGAATGATGTATTTGAGTATTTTATTTTTTACACTACAACTTGGAATTATGGGTAACCCAGAGCGTGGATACACGTAGATAAGCATCTCCCTGAAATGACTTTTTGGAACTTGGGATGTCTGTATCCTGTGGTGGTGCGCTGTCACCAATGAATTGTGATGTGTGATCATTTACTACTGAGAATTGCATAATTGTATCTTCTTGGCCGATTTATGGAACTGTCGGCATATCTTGAACCTTTATCACGTGTTGTACTTCATATGAGACCCACCCAGATAATGTAGTTCACGGGCCTATTGTTGTGTCATCATTCCATTAGTTCCAGCTAAGCTGTTCGGTAAATATCCAAATTTTTTTTTAAGTTATTAACATTTTTTTATATGAATTACAAATAAAAAATCCTACTTATGTCTTGGTGACCATTTTAAGACCTTTGAAAGACTGGTTTAAGACATTTTAATACCAATTAAGGCCTTTTTTTATATTGAAGAATTTAATGCCTTTTTAAGGATCTGCAGGAACCCTGCTGTAAAGGATCAGAGGGGTTACTCTGCCCCCTTTGCCTCCTGCTGTGAGTACAGTATGGTGTCTGCTGTTATCACAGCCTGCAGAAAGGGAGGGAATAGGCTGATTTAAATACAGTGCGGGAAATCAGTCTTCAGGCCACACCCCCTTTTTCTTTTAAAAGCACATCCGGACGCGAGGGAGCGCTAGCAAACAATGTGCCTTCGATTTCCGACTATAAAACACGGTGGAATATGACATTATTTGGTTCTACAGTAATATATAATTAGTATACAACTCACTTGGACTCTATTAATTAATAAGAGGAAAAGCTCCCCGCCTCTACGGCTTTCGTGCAGGATGGAAATAATACTAAGAAAGCGAACAAAATTAGCATAAAATGGATATTTTATAAAAACAAGTTGACTAAAAAACAATACCCTCAATTCATTACTAGCAATTTGCCTAATATTTTACTTCCAGCGTGTTCTAGAGAAAATAAAAAACAAAATATTTTACTTTATGCCAAGCAAGGGAAACAGGAAAATGGGCAGTGGTGTGTTAGCATTCATTCGGTGGTTCAACCGTTTTCACAAAGAGCTGCAGTTCACTGCAAACAAACAGAAAATAACTTCTACCCAATCAAGTTTAAAGCGCACAGCAAGTCAGGTTACAGTCCGTTTCTGTTTCTTTTCAGCCATTTTTTTTTACCAGATCACCGACGTGAAACAGAACTATGGGCAAGAGATGAATAATTGAATCTAGGTGACCCTGAACCACATATGAGGCCTTTCAGTGATTTTATATCGGCAGCAAAAGCGAAGCAACACCAGACTTAGCTCAGAGTACGAACAATTGAATAAAGATGTAAATGAAAATACAATAACAGCCATTCGAAAGTTAGCAGTAGTCGAAAAAATGGTTTACCTGTTTGATAGTCCAAAATAAAATCGGGATAAGAATTAAACGTGAACGTTTTACTCCTAAGTTATTTCTTTCTATGGGTTTATGCGACCAACTCCAGCCCTTGTTGGAGATTGATCAATGAGTTATTCTTCAACACTTTGTAAACCCCCCTGTTCCATAGGTCCGCCATGCTGATTGGGTGATTGCTTCTCACAATTCACATTTGATTGGCTCATAGGGTTGTCAATCTGAACCCTGACTGGAGCTTAGAGTCAGCGCGCGAAACAACATTCTCGTGGGTGCAGCGCTCCTCCGGGAAAGTATCGCGAGACAAAGGAGTCCTGCCGACAAACATATGGTTCTGGTAAACAACGTTGTTGTAGACCTAAAGGAGTACCCTATGCCTGCTTAATTTATTTTCAGAAGTCAATTAACACACAATTTATTTTTTTGTCGAACAGAACTAATGTTTACATTCTATGGTTTTGAATTTTCCTGTAGAATCTTTTAGAAGGAAGACACTTTTTCACTTTTGAAAAAAGTTCATGAGAGCACAACATACAAGTGGAAGTTTAGTATATGATATGCCTTATTTTCTTTCTATACAGAATAATATATATTGCATTGTCCCTGTTGTATATTATTTCACAATATCTAGATGATTGATGTCTGTTGTAGGTTTAAATTTAAATTATTTTTTTAATATTATTTGATTATTTTATGTTGGTTAAATTAGTCTATATAATGTGAGATACCAGGGACAAAGAACATTTTCAGTTCAATGAGCAATTATTAACCCCAGCATCAACACTGTGTTTAGGTGAAGTATGAATACATTTAAAAGACTTACAACCAGAAATGCACCGATTAACTATGAGCATACTATTAAAAAAAAAAAACATCACATTGATTGACCATGATCTGATATGACTGTTTCCACTATTTACCATAGGTGGTAGCCATTTTCTAACAGATACCCATCATATTTGTAAAAAACAAAAAAAAAACAAAAAACAGCTTAATTATTTATAAAGCAGCCCTAAAGGAGGTTTGGCATAAAGATGCCTTGCACAAAAGAAGAGCTTATTGGACACAGATGCTGCTTATATCTGACAGTTTAATAAAAGAAAAACACTTAGATCAACAAACTGTTATTGCTTTAAATTGAATGACTCAAAAATAATCCAGCTTTTGCTTCAATGAAATTATACAAGGTTTTATATCGTAATACATTTCCAATCATTGTTTTGTAAAACTGCTCTTGCTCACTATAAATCATGTACAACCATAAACTTCAACAATAAATATGCACGTTATAAACAGTTACATTTATTATAGATACTATTTTTCTATTTAATATAAATTGCAGTATTTATATGTGCTTTAAATCTATTAAACCCCAATGAAAGGTTTGTAATAAACTAGAATACCAGTTGAGTGATAAAATACAGATGGTGTGGCTTTGACCCAAGGTCAAAGTAAAAGTCCCACTCTACGAAATCATATTAAAAATGGGGAAAAGAAAGCAATTCATTGTGTCTTGCATTGGACATGTGTAAACTCCCTCAAGATTAATAAGTTTAACTGGAAATGGCAGGTTTTATATATAAATTTTTTTAAATAACACCAAAGCAAAAAGCAAATTTTGATCAAAGTGGTGGTAATTCTTGCAGGCTGTGTGGCGTTCATGTCTATGATCAATACAATGTTTTTTGGGAATGTGCAAAAATAAACCCTTTTTGGGCGACATAGCCACAAAGAGATGTGTATACTTGTTCAGTAATAAAATACCTTTGTAGTTCTTATTTTTGTTTTTGGGACCCGTGATTTCCTGATCAAACAGGCTGATAAGAATGCAAAAACTGCAAAAACCGCTTACAAGACACTGACTGCTTCTAAGGTTTCCTACAGTTTCAGAATGGCTAGATATTGTTTATGAAATGTATACATAATCTACCAATGCCAATATTAATAAGAAAAAAAGACAGCAACTGATCAAAATTCCTTTTGGGTTTTTGAGTAGAAAATAATTATTGCTGCCTCAAAAAATTAATATAATATACTTACTTAAAATCTCAAAGTACAAAGTCAAAATTACCTAATAAAATTACCAAATGAGAATATATTTAGCAAGATAGCAACAATTAATAGAAAAAAAAATAAAATAGGAAAATTTATATATGAAAAGATATTCTCCTTCCATTTATGTTAGTAAGTAACCCAAATATCACTTCTTGTGTTTTAGAATAAATTCAATAAAAATTCAAAGTCACTTCATTAATCCCAAAGGGAAATTAAATAATATAGGCATATATATAATAATCTGTATATTCTTATTCTTGACGCTCACAGGAAATATAGCGTTCTCAATAAAATAACCAAAATAATGCATTGGACACTTGACAGCATGCAACTTTTACTTCTAAAGAGATTCTTTATTCATTCCTGTTCATATTAGGAAAGATGTTTGTGTTAAAATCTTCCAACTTTTTCATTCTATTGAAAATGGGCAGTACAGTCTCTAAGAAGCTTAATTTATTGGAGGAATTCCAGCTGCTGAATAATAAGAGCAGAAGACTCCCTCGGTTGACCTTTTAAAATTAAGCACTTGTGAAGAAACTATTTTGTTTTCTCGACCAAATAATTTCTTTTAAGCAGATATGAAATCTCTTACATTGCACTTACTATAAAATCCTGAGCATATGACTCAAAAGACACATGTGTAAGTCTAAGCATCAATATTTTACTCTGAGGTGAAATTATTACTTGTTGAAATTCCAACCAATTTATATAAAACATGGCAAAAACAAAGCGGCTTCTCAGCTGTATGGCGTCTCTGGTGTGCTTGATCCTGGACACAGCTGCTTGGGATGTGTTGAACAGCACTCTGAACTTAGAGAGGATGACAGGAAGTGGACGCGACAGGCTAGGTCGTCCAGGAAATCTTTTTGAAGTTTTGCTATTGCTTGAGACAACACAACTGGCAGTGACTGCACTCCATGAAGGATGGAGTCCAGTTTCTCTTCCAGAGCAACAATCCTCTTGTCCAGCTCCCCAGTTCGATGTTGCAGGTCTGAGACCAGATCGTACATCATGTTCTGAGTCTGGAAGGCAACACAGAGAACAGTAACCTGAAACTATTTAAATCGCTTTCTTTGGCATGAAGCACGTAGTTAGCCTTCATTTAATAACTATGTTAGATTAAAAAAGAATTAATCAAAACTAATGCATTCACTCCTCTAGTGTGTTTTTTTTTTTTTTTTGCTGAAATTTAAATCATTATTTTTTTTCAGGACCCCACCAAATATATAAAATGCAAAAGGTACAAAACATAAGAAGTAAATACAGATTGCAAACATCAAAAACACCAGTTTGGGTTTTTAGTTTACTGTTCGGAAGAAAATACACAAACCTTTGCAAGATCAGCCACAGTATTTGCCTGGTCAGTTAGTTTCCTTTGCTCCATTTTGAGTCTTCTCAGTCTGAAGGTAAAGACCCATATTAATTTATCCTAAATCACTTAAAAGATAGTTATCTAAATTCACAGTAAAACTGTACGACAGACTTCCAAATTCAAACAAATAATAATGATACTTACTGGTGAATGGCCTGAAGGAACTTCCGTTGATGGTGGCGTACGCGGGCGTGGTCGATCTTCTTTACCAGCTTTGTGTTTTTGTAGATGAGCCAAGTCTCCCTTAAAACATTGGCAGCTATGTTTTTTATCTAATGAAGGAATTCAAAAGAGAAAAACAGCTGTTTTAAAGTGACTTCGGTTGATAAATGACATCATTTTCATTGACAAAATTTTGCCACTTTGTAGCTGTGCATTCATTTGATAATCATACCATTTTCTATCATTTAACTGAAACTTAAAAAAAAAACAACCCGTTATTTTCAAGAAAAAAAAAACAGAAAAGTTTTCATTGAAGAAATAAGCACTGCTGTATCCAAACAGACCTTTTTGTAAAGTTGAGTATCCATCATAAAGTTATGCACATGTTTTTCAGCTCTTGTGAGCTCCGACTTCCTTGCAACCACAGCCACCACCAATGCTGTGCAACCTGCCCCCTGTTGAAAAGAACAGCTGCTGTTGGCATCACAACAGTGATTTATTAAAATTTTTCTAAAACATCCAGGATTGTTACCAGGATTTATAAAATGAGAACATAAGTTATTTCTAAAGAAAATGTATTCCTATATCGTAATTTTTTTGTATATTCCTCACCATAATTCCTGTTAACAGGCAAACTCCTTTACCACAGTAGGTGTGAGGGACCATATCTCCATAACCAATGGACAGGAAAGTGATGGAGATCAACCACATTGCTCCTAAGAAAGTGCTTGTTACTTCCTGTGCATCATGATACCTGCTGGGACAGAAACACCAGGCACTGTATTAGAAAAAAGTGTTACAGCTATAAGACTAGTCGGAGGTTTGCTTCGATTCATCAGGAACGTGGAAGTCATATGCACTGAAATACTTTGTTATTTTTGTGGTGGAAGTACTGTACAACAAAAAGTTCCGGTGTTTTTGATAATCACACCACACTATATTAAAGTTTTAACTAACTAAGCCAAACTGTCTCCTCCAGATGACAGGAAATTAGTTAGGATATTCAGGGACAAACTAGAACTAGCCAGAAACCAAACCTGCCATCAACAAGAAACGTCTGGAACTTGACTCCTTACAGTAAAACAGGTTTAGCATTTCTGCTACCTACCTGCGCAAGTCAAATGTATATGGGAAAAAGTCTCAAAGAGTGTTTTTTATATACGGTCCAGGTAACAAAACTCATTTAGAGCCACCATATTTTTTAAAGAGAGAAACAAGATAATATATGTTTAATGAATATTTACCAAAGATTGGTCCTTTTTTAACTATTCACTGTGCCCTTTCAACTTTTAGCTTTCAAAATGAAGGAAAACAATACATACAAAAAAAGAATGAATGCACAGCATGTAATAACTGTTTTAGTTATTTTGATTTTGTTTTCTAAACATTTCAGATCCCTCCTCTAAATTCTGTTTGTTTATTATATATTTTTTATTTTTATTTTTTTTTTGTAATTTGCTTGTTGGTTTGGTAATTTGATATTACTTGATTAGCTTTTTTACTAGATACTTTTTTTCCTCTTGTTTGAGAAATTGCTTTACTTTTACTTGAATCAAAATGTGATGAAGTTGTTCTACTCTTTCTTAAGTACATTTTTGGGTACTTTACTCACCTTTGTATTTATAGACAATTTATTCTGGAAATTCAATGCAATTAGTCAAAGAAGAGAATACTATCCAGCAGTATAAAATGCCAATTGTGACTCAAGAGCCACAGGTTACAGGCCCCTTTTCCAGAACGATCCTGGCCTGAACCTTTTGAAAGTGAATAAGCTTTAAATTCAAGTGTGTCAGCAAATTAAATATTTAAATGAACATATGCCTTCTGATTGGAAAAAGGGAGTCAGACAAACAGAATTGTGCTAGAATGTGCAGTCAAGGTGAGGCTTTCAATGCAACATTTG